TCAGTTCGGTCAAGTCCAGTGTCGGACATTAGACTCTCGTATAGAACTGGCCCATGCGGCAAAACGACGGAACGGGCGACCAAAGGAGAAGAGACAGGGGGAATGTAGCTGGAGAATGGTCTTCTCCATGCCCACGCGAACCGATTCATATCTTTAAACGCCCAATTCGCCTGTTCTGGCCTCCCGCAACATCCGGGTATTATTTTTCCACGTGTTTCTGGTGGTATCCTTTTTTGGCGCCGAGCTAAGGCGCTGAAAAGGTTAACAAAAATGGAAATAATATAAAACTACGAAAATGAAAATCATATCATATAAAACAGAAAACAAAACAAGACAAAATAAAACAAATGAGACCAAGCAAAAAGAAACAAACAAAACATGTAAATCAATTAATACTTGTACTGACTCGAGTTGCTACATAACCACGGTACAGTACTTGTACGATATGGATACAGTCAGGGACACCTGTGCGGTCGGGTTTCATTGCTACCGCGAACCTAGATACGGAGTGATAACAAGACAAGACAATGGTATGAACTTGTCGTCATTTGAAACCAGCGTCTGAGTTTAAGACGGGGACTAGTGGATCTAGCGCACATACCATAGCAAGAAAGAAGCGTCCGGGTTATCGCGCACAATGGTCGTATCGCATGTGTGTCGATCACCTCATGGTCATGCTCGTGGATGGAATGATACGTCCGCATCATCATGTGGCCTCTACATGAGACATGTCGATCCCTACGTCACCTTTATCGTGATACCATATCCCATCCATTTCTATAATCCGAATAAATATTTGGCGTCTAGGCCACGTGTGGCACGGTGGCCTTGGTTAGTATGCCCATCTGTTTCTTCATGGACTGGTACATGAATGCAGAGATGTCGATGAGAAAGAAGAGGGCGATTGGGGTCATGCAAAAGAGCGCTGCGAGGAGCTGTGTTAGTAGAGCAGTGGGGGACGGTGCGGGACAGTAAGTGGAGGGCGGCGCAGAGCGCGGGAACAGAGCGCGGGAACAGACCGCGGGAATAGCAGAGCGGGCACAGGGCGCGCACAGAAGAGAAGCGGGAAAAGCAGCTAAACCCACTACGTCTCCAAACCTGGTCCATCTAATCACCTCCAACACGTCCATCTATACCACCTCAATACTCACCGAAACAGACACAATGGCCTGGGTTACCTGGTCGGACACAAAGCCGTACGAGTAGAGCACCGTGTGGGGCATGGCTGGGGGAGGGTCGAGAGCGGCTGGGGTTGGTGAGATGTAGGAGAAAGACAAGAGAAGAGTCCGGGGGATATTTTGGCGCTTCTCTTATATATTAAGGTCGGGGTGTTGCTTAAAGAGCAAAAAGTGACAATTTGAGCTGTTACTGTAATTACAGTACAGTAGGTGTGAGGAGTAGTGGCGAGTCGATGGCAGAGACCACAAGCTGTCCACGGACGGTTGGTGTTTGTGTTTTGGTAGCGAGGAGCGGGAAAAGAAAAAAACAGCAGACCGCGCTCCCTTTATATCTCTCTTTTTGTGTCTCAAGCGGTTGTCTCAGGTCCCTTTAGTCAAGTGTGTATGTAGATATGGCTTGGAGCTTAGCGGTAGCTAGCAGTCGCGATAGAGCTAAAAATCATGAGAGTTTGGGCTGTATATTATGGGAGTTTAATTGGTACTTGAAGTGTACTTGTACCCACGATAATAGCCCGAAACGCCGATATCTGGAGGACGTAGGCCGGTCAGCGGGGGGTTTTGCAAAGATATTTGGCTGGGCATGGTCCCCAAATTATCGTATTGCGCCTTTGACCCCATAAACCCCGCTCCCCGCCCCCTCCCAAGTCGTCCGCCCTGCCGATACGTGCACTTTCACGTTCTCTGCTTGTCTGCATGAATCTATCTTATCCTCATGTTGTGGCAGCAAAACCGGCTGGATTGACACCGGAATACGAACATGGCGGTGTTTGTACCTTTGTACATGTGTGCCCAAGACGAATGCCACAAACCGGCTTCCACCGCAGCCTCTCATTGGTCAGTTTGTCACTACTTGACACCCTTGACCAGAACCATCACACACTTGACAAGCGACCATAGCCAAAAGTGACAACAAGTGACCATAGTAACCGCAAGCGACCACAAACACAGCTCGATTCCCACCAATCATCTACATTATTTGGTCATCCCTTGCCATCCCTTGCCATCATTCGCTCCTACGCTCACCCCTCCAACTCCCCGTGCCTTACATAAGCACGGCGTAAATTATAACACAGGTGAACATTTCAGCATGTCCAAACCTTAAAGTGAAAAGTATAAATTTCGCCAGAAAAAAAAAATATCCCTCCAAACAAGCCCAGACAAGCCCAAGCAAAAGACTCTTGTTGTGAAAACAACGGCGGTGTAAGCGGCAGATTGGACCGGCGTAAGCCCTCCAGTTGCCACGTACTCGGCTCAGAATGATGATTGACCTACAAATTCTTATCTACATTATCTGAACAAACATTGAAGAAGAACGTTTCTGACTGAAGACTCTGGCTGGCTACTTTTAGACAGCGACACTATTTATACAAGCACGCAATCAATCTGTTGACTCTAGCCCTTAAATAGATCCATACTAGACACCGAGCTAGCCGTCTGACTACAAAGAGAACAAGGCGGTGATTCCGGAGTCAGTATTCAATGTGGATGTGCGGTATTGTACGGTACGCCATGTGCGGTATGTACAGCATGTACGGTGGTACGATCCTCTACTCGGTGGCTACGAGTCTTCCCTCTGCCGTGTGAAACATATCTCCAGTCGTGTGTCTCTGCCGTTTGAAACAATGTCTCTAGTCTCGTACCCTTTTCTACGTCCTGAACTCCGCTAATGTTAGTGACTGGATGGCTAAGCGCACTATCAAAAAAGCCGGGAATGGAAAATAGCGGCCTCCAACCGACGACCCAGCGCAGGACCTTTGTATCTTTCAACCGCACTCGACACAACCGGCGCGCGCGAACCCTCCATTCTTTTCGTGTCCTCCTGCATATCCCTGGACTCCAGAGTCGTATTTGCACCGAGAAAATCGAACCCATAGACGCTAAAAACCCATTCCATAAGGCCGCGCCCACTCTCAAATGTGGAGATACGCTTTCTGCTGCCGCTTCGGACCATTCAGACATGTGTTGGTCCACATTGGCTTGAAGCGTAGGTCATGTCGACTCTAGAATGAATCGTCACTTTAGTAAGCCATCTGGAAGACATGGTTGTTCGATTAGCGGTTGGTCCGGGGAAAATAGTGACGATAAAGAGCTCGACGTTAGTGCATCTGCCTTGGACAAGTGCAAACACCTCCTATAATCACTCGTCCAGCCCATGTCTGAGTCTGAATCCACCCAAACCTCGGGAATACCCGACCACAAACGAACATCCACCGATGGACCTAACATAATACATCCGTCGTATTTTCCCGATCGACTCGCGACCCTGGCTGCCTCGGGCTTAATTTGCACCACTGACACATGTCTCACGTGGGTCATCTCAGTAATCCCGAGCTTGCACGAGTTTCGCCGGAAGTTTCTAACATCTACTCGTAGACCAAACAGAGACAAGAACTGAGGGGAACAGAATCTGAGAGAAAAATTGGCTGTTAAACGAGGGGAACTTGATGAGAAAGCAATCGGCCCGATACCTCAATGAGGAAGTAACGAAGAGATGAATCGGCAACGAAACAAGTGGACTTGAGAGGAACAAGCAAGGCAGGGACTGTTTACCGGTGAAAAAGACCCCTCTTCCTGTTATCTGTATAGCTGACCAGTGATTATATTACCACTTCAGGTTGGATATCATAGCAGGCGGGTTTCCTGCAGTGCAGTAGTCTGGGGAGGGAATGGAATGGAGTCTGGCGTTTATCAATGTCACAGAGCACAAGTAGCAGTGTCTGGGGTCATTGATAAGACGATTTGTTTCACCAACATCAGTCAATCGATTAGGTCGCGCGAATTTTCGCTCGTATCTGTCTCTGAGACGCTTTCCAAGACAGCACAAGCAAGCTTACAGTTGGTGACCAAAACAACAAGAAGCTCACAGTTGGTGAACACGTACGTTCAGTCACGATCCCTAAGGCATATTAGGAGCGAGCTATTACCCCACATCAACTTTGCGAGCAGCCTCTGTCGAAGCTCAGGGAGCGAAAAAGTCTTGAAAGTGCTGCAAAATCGCTATCGATATGGTCTCTCGGGCAGTCGGAAGACGTCTGTAATGAGAATCAGGGCTGCTTTTCTGCTGCTCATTATGATGTTGGAATCAACCTGGATGGGCCTGCGCGATTGAGTGGTTCATCAAAATGTCAGCAAATGAGCCCACAAAACACCGAAAATAACCTGATTTTCCGGCTGATTTTCAGATGAAATAATCGCCATTTTCCTGCATGCTCGCTGGGAAATCAACCACAGTTTGGTTTGAATTCCGGGTGCAACAATTGACGGATTTTCATTGGCAAGATTTCCATGGGAAAAAAGCATGTCCTTTGACTAAACAAAACATCAACAAAAGAGCTGCAAGTTTAACGGATTTCAGTTGGAAAAATTCACGTCACCAAAGGAGCTCAAATCTAACGACGGAGGATTACACCTCAAACCCCCCACCCATCCCTTCAGATCGCACCATTTGCATCACGTGACCAGATCTCCAGCCGTCCACCTCCAAAATCACCGACACGAGGTGGAAGCGTTGGTACGGAACCCGAGACACATGTGTCATGCACACGAACACGGCTGAAATTCAGACAACGACCGGAAAACTGGGAAGGCAAGCGCAATTGAGACTGACTAAGAAAAAACAGTGGGTCCAGAAACACCCGAATAATCCACATATCCCCTCGGCAGCTCGCCCCAGCCCCCCAATCAACCGGCTAGTGCAACGTCATCCCCCATCTAACGTTACCCTAACCCCCAAATGTCCACATCATAACATTAATAATATCTGTCGACGCACACTCTTTCTGATACTCACTCTTGTGTCAAACACCACTCTCTGAATCCGACATGTCTCTTGTGGAAGAACTCAAGACTCGAAACTTCAGTATATACGGGCAATGGATTGGCGTGCTGTGCATCATTCTGTGCATTGCGCTCGGAATCGCCAACATTTTCCATGCCAGCTTGGTGATCATTTTCTCCATTATTTGCATGTGAGTATTGTGTTTTTTGTGGGCCGCGGGTATTGTGTCACTTTTGCGGCTTGTGTGTCATTTGTGTGAGGTGGCGTTTGTGGGGGCTGTGGAGGTGATGTGTTCCGGAGTCGATGTTGTGACAGAGACCGAATTGTGGGGTGGTGTCAGGCTCCTATCTGTGCACAATACATGGTGTGGAGATCGATTATGCACAACGGTGCTGGTGACAAGGGCCCCGTGAATGTTATTTGCTGATGGCCGGATACAGAGAGAAGACTGGGGAATGGTTGACAATGTTTTGAGACACTGTGGTGTGATTGCCAATGTGGTCATGAGTTTCAACGACTGTCGTGCTGCATTGGTTCATGATATGGTGCTGGTGTTGATGTGACGACTCAGATATGACGTCTTCAAATGGCCCCTACATGGTCCTATTGCTCCGACATGTCCTGATCTCACAAGGACCCGTTTACTTGATGCCTTCAATCCACCGACTCATCACCTACCACCATCTCCAACCCCAACTCAGTGACGCTGAGTCTTTTCGGGGCCCGTGCAACCGGACCTTGCTGCTTGTCGGTTGTGACTCTGTTGTGTCTCGGGTTGCTCAAGTCTGGTCGCTGGCGCTTGTCTTCCAAGGTGTTGGCATGATCTCATCTGATTGTCGTTCGGCGTAGCTGATGCGTGTTGATAATTATGGCTGCCCTGTCTGTTGTTACTACCACTGACAAAATCCAGAGACAAGGCTTCTGTTGATCATCAACCAAAAAAACCCTCCCACTCCATTTATCTACTAACCCAGCGTCCAAGGTCTGGTGGTCGTATTTGTTGAAATCCCATTCCTGCTGCGAATCTGCCCCGTGACGGAACGGTTTTCCAACTTCATTCGATTCTTCAACCAAAACTGGCCGCGAGCCGCCTTCTACATCGGAATGGCCACTATCCAGTACTGCTCGCTTATTTTCATGACCACGTCGCTGCTGGTGCCCGCCGTGTTCCTGACCATCACATCCATGTGTTACGCTCTGGCAGCCCTCAAGCACCAGGAGTTCACTGGGTCTTCCACTCTTGGTGGTGCTGGAATCGCAAGACAGATTCTGTAATCTACGGCACTGTACGTAGATGGTATACTTTTAATGAGAACTTACGATGAGCGGAGTGTACAGTAGGTGAGACCTATGTAAACTACGATACTAACACCCCCAACTAACTGCTTTCTCTTGGAGGAGCGATGACAGCCATTCTGCGGCTCTGAAAAACCGCTCTGAATCCCCGTCCTTGCCCTGATCCAACAGAGGCCGGTTTCAATGAATGGGCCGGAAATGAGTGTGGAGAAGTTCTTGGTTCTGCGATTCGGTGCAGTGAGTTTTGGTGAGTTAAACAGAGAGATTTTGGCCTGGAGATGCTGTACAATGACAAGAGGGACAAGCCTAGTCGGTGATGGCGGTGGATGGTGGATTGAGGATGAGTGGAGACTATGTCTTTGTGACGCGGACTGATACCAGCTGGTCCTTTGCAATCTGTTTCGCTGCTGTCTGATCAACGGGACAAGTGGTGATTTTAGATTGGTGGAAGCTGCGCTATTGACGACGATCATCATCTCTGATTATGATCTCATCGCTGTCTAAGACTCATCCTGATATGCTGTCACAATCTCATCCAGATAGACCATTTCTTGGGAGGACCAGGGACATGGAAGCTCTGTGCTCTGCGGCAACTCTTGACTTTACGGAACTTTTCCACAAAAGCACAGGGACTAGCAGGGTGCATGCACTGAGTGAGTCTGTCACTTTACTCCACCTGGATCCGACTATCCACCTGGCCCTCACCCCTTTGCCCAAAGGCCCTCTTGTGCTGTAGGATACCCAGATGGTCTAGTCCTTGGGAACCATGACTGGTCTTGGTGCGATATGCTCGTTTGCGAATTTGTGGAACGAAATAGTGGCCAGTATCGACGAATACCTGAGTGATCTCATCTCAGAGCTCTCAGATGGCAGTGAGTTCAGACTCTCCAACCACTGGATTCTTGCCGACATCTCCCTGGTACTTTTATGACCCATTCTTGTTGTAAGTCGTCAAATAGCGAGGTTTCCGGTCCTGGAAACTACGCAACTCCCGGGTTTGCAATCGAACATGGCTGTCTGGGGGATGTGAACAAAAACTTCCTCCGCTTTGCTCGAAAGATCCACTTTCCTCACGCTGTGGCTTGACGGAGTGTGGATCCGCTGACCCATTCAACCCATTCAACTCATTTGCGTGTCGCAGATGGGTTCAAGACACCGAGGCCCTCTTGAAGTCGTTCTCGCGTGAGATGCAGTCGTGTCTGTGTCGATCATGAATTGGCTGCCATGTTTTGTTTTTTTTTCCGTTGAGCCTCGGTCGCTACACCTTCAGTTCAATCGAATATCTGCTGCAGGCCCTGGATGTGAGTCTGTAGAGAGGAGCAGCGAGGAGCTGAAGTGCGGAAGTTGTAATGGTAGCACTCAGCGATACCGAGGCCGAGAGCAATAGTGGCATAATTGTGATAATTGTGATCATTCTGACACCTCAGGGAGTTCCTGGCTGGACAAGAGTGCTATTTAAATGTTCACGGTTTACTTGGGAATTACTTGACCCTGGAAAGGGTCAATATTTCGCCGGAAAAAGTGTCAAAACCAATAAAAATAATACCGTTGGAATCACCCCAATCTGCTGAACAGGAATGTACAACTGGTTTGGAATAATCGCATCATGTCCGCCTCATCAATGCGAACATTCTGATACCACAATTGAGGGTATTAGTTTCCCATTCAGCGCATCTTGCCTCGTTCGGCGTCAAAAAATACCTACAGTATTACTGTATATAAATATATAAATATATAAATACAAGCCCTTGTCTACACCATGAAGTTACACGGCCAAACCCAGCTCGACGGAATGATCATACTCAAAGCTGGATACCTCCAACATGGGCCACCAAACGTATTGATGCAGCTCCTGGGGCAGCTGATCGAGAATGTCCTGCAGGTCGTACTGCAATCTGTCCTTCCACCAACATAGGCCGTGGTATCTGTGCACGTAGGCACAGTAGAAACAGACCAACAAGAGCGCATAGGGGTTATTCTGTCGGATGTAAGCCAGAAAGTCCGGATGCCAGTAAACGCTCCAGGCTGTGAGATGGGCCGAGCTCCGCCCATCCAAGTCCATGGAGTAAAGTTCGGTCATAGTGTGGATTTCTCTGACGAGACAGGTTTTCAGCTTGGGGTCGCTGTTGGGCACTAGATTAGGAATGTTCCATAGCAGGTCATCACGTGGAAGGTAGTGTTTACTTGGCAAGGGGGCGGCGGCTATGGTGTCCGATTTTCCCTGGCCCAAGTACAGCGTCTGGATATCGTGGATGATGCGCAGGATGCCGAAAATGTCCGCCCCGGAGTTATCAAAGCTCAGCAGAGGAATGATGAAGAGGGCCTTGGAGCACATGGACACCATGACGCAGGCGATGAGCACGCAGTTGTAGTTGTGGGTGGTATCCAGGTTGATGAGTTCGAGTTTGAGTTTGGCGAGGGCGTCGGTGAACATGATGAGCAGGTTTTCTTCCTGTTTGTCAGACAGAGGCACGTATCCCACGACTTTGTGGCATTTCGGCAACTCCAGCCGTTTGGAGTGCGGCACGTTTCCCTTGAGCATGTATCGGTACTCGTTTTGCAGGTTGTAGAGCATCATTTGCGAAAATGTGAGGCATGCTGCGGTCAAGGCGGGGCTTTTTTTCGCCAGTTGGATCGACGACTTCATCCACGGTGCGTCCTTTTTGCCCGAGGCGTGGACCAGCAGTGGCGAAGCATGCAGAACGTAGAACTTGAGCAGCTCCAGCTTTTTGTGGGTTAAGCCCAGCATTTTCTGCATCGACACCGGCCGGATCGTGTACTGGGTCTTTCTCTTTGTCGGTCGTGACGCCACATGGTCTTTTCGCACGGGCGTGTGGTGGGATGAGCGTTTATTGGAGGTGGGTTGGGTCGGCGCCAGCAGCAGCATGACGAGGTTTCCGGCGATGGAGAGAAGGGGTGGGAGTTATGCGGTTTCGTTGGTTTAGTTGGTTTCGAGACGTCACAAAAGCTCGTGTTAATGGGGAAGAGAACAAGTCGGAGTGGTGTGTAGTTGTTCTTATACTTTTCACACTGTAGATGTTACTTTGGAGAGGTGGTAGGTACAGTGCAGATCGTCTTTTTTGAGACAAGGTGCGGGGGGAAGCTGAAAGTGGGTTCCAGATGGGCTAGAAGAGTGGGAGTGGTCTTGAACGACTCGCAAAGACGCCAGAAATACAATGGTTAGTTCGGTTGGTGTCTAAATCAGCCATTTTCGGCTCTCACAAAAACCCGAATACGATTGCTCTGAATGATCCGATTTTGACCAACCTAAAAATGCTTAAAGTTTATTTGTGAATGTAACATGTGAGCCACATATATACAAATTACCATGCATGTTTTATGCATCTATATGCATCGACGCAGGTTACGCCACACTAAGGGTCCAATTGGGTGGTAGGGTTTGGTATATAGAGTTTAGAGTGTTGGTCTTTAACCTTGTTTAAGCCCTTCGTTGTGAACTTTATTTTGTAAACTTGGGTGAATTTCGTTTGGCGATTCGATTAGTCCGAGTTTGAATTCACCAAAAGATGAAAACAAATTGGAAACAGCGCCGATGATTGAGACGATGGAAAATTACCAGAGGCTGATTTCCGTTACCTCCGACATGGACTGACGTCTGTGAGACGACATGAGCCGACGATGTGGCGTTGGGCTCGAGATGACGGGTTGCCCGTTCGATTCCGGCGAGGAACTCTTTAAAGCGGGAAATTGCGGCACTTTTACATACACAGATTCAAATGGATTCAATTCATGCCCTCAGTACATTTGCTGTTTGGTCTTTTGTCCGCTGGATTATGCTAAGTCGACGAATTTGGGATCTCAATGGGATCAGAAATCTCATGTCAAACCCGGAAAAGTCCTGTTGATTTTGATTTCCAGTGCCTCATGTTATTTTGATAGAGAGTGATATTCCCCCTCTGCAACGACCCCGACATGTTTGCACAACCAGCGACAAACTGACGGTGGAGCGACCGTGCTGTGAGTCCTGAAGTTTGCCGTGTGTGGACAAGCAGGACGGGCGGCCATGTCCTCTGAAGTAGTATGAGCCGACTGTCATGAAGCGGGTCCCCCAGGCGGTCTCGGGAGGAACCTCGTGTTCGTGACAAATACCAACAATGGTCGTACGGTCTTCTTTGGGTGGCGGTTTCCTTCTAATCTCACCGTGTGGCTCTTGGGTCTCTGACGAAGGTCGCTGTGGGGACACTGGCGTGCTATAATGGATTTATTCAGGGTTTAGAATCACCAGCAAGGTCTCTGAAACAGTGCAAAGAGCAATGACCGCTCCAGACAGTGACTTATTGAGTACCATGGAGTCTAGATGACGCCTGTAGAAACAACATGGCTAGGGAGCAACCAAAGACAACTTGTCAATGTACACTGAACAATCAATCATAAAATCATGAGAAAAGTGAACAAACCGCAACAGTGGCTGCAGCCGGGGCAGACTTGGGGGCCTGTTCCGGACGAGCCTGGTCACCGATACAACCAACGACTTTCTCCGGCTGGCGGCAGCATCGCGGTTTCTCTAATAGTCACCGACAGTCCGCATCAAAGTGTAGGAGATTAGCCCAAACAATCTCAGGTCTCGAGATGAGCTACCCACTGGTCAATAATGACAATCACCAAACTACCTAAGGTCTGGTAGTAGTAGTCCGACTTGAGAGGGGCAGATCCGAAACCAGTACCGGGGACTACTCCTTTATATAAGAAATTCTCCTCTGGCTGGTGATTCCAAGGGCTTGGTCTGCAATTGTCTTCGAATCATGGGTGCCATTCGAGAAAAGTACTTACTGTACCCTACATACTGTACTGCTGTGACTCCATGCTGCTGCTTTGGAGACTGGAGCTCATGTTGATGTGGTCTCCACCTTTCTTTCCTCCATCAAGTGGAGATATATTCAACTAACAATTCCGCAGTTTCTGTCTCTTTTGTTCAACTGTCGATCTGAAATGTAGTCCGTTCTCAGTTGAAAACCCGACATAACGAAATTTTCAACCTCATCCTCCACCTCGCCATGATAGAACTCCTCCTTATATCTTCCGAACAAACCTCTCCTATCAATGTTGTTCGTACATATTGTACTAAATGTGGAAAATGTGAGTCGCCAGGAATAGGGACTTTTTAAACCCGATTCTAGGTCGTTTTAAATAAATTCTCTTGTATTTCTTGTGTCTTTTTTCCATCATAGAAATGTCAATATTGCGTCGTGTTCAAGCTCAGTGATGCATTGTTATACACTCTGATTGGAGGTTCTATGGACAACATTCTGGGACAGATTTTTTGAACATAAAAGGGAGTTTTTACGCCAAATGAAACTTCTAATGTACTTGTACAAGTTGAAATACTCAACAAAATACTTTCTCCGAATCACGTGACCTCTCAATCGCAGTATGGTCTAACTTTTTCTTTCACTTTTTTTCTTCCTTTTTTTCCTACTATAGTTAGAGAAATGCCCATAAACCGAAATATATACCCGAATGTAGTAAAACTGGTACCATTCTATAGCTCTTTTGATTTTTATTACAATGGTGAAGTTCCCGTCTTTATTGATTCTGGAACTGGATTGAATTTCGCTTGCGGAAGAGACATGTGACAATGATTAGAAGTCTCATCGCAATTTGATTCCCCATCAACGTACAGTTCAACTCTGTTGCCACTCACCTCCATTTGACGAGATTCCGGAATAGTCAGTTGTTTCCTTCGACTGAAGCCATTCAAACCAATCTCTAGGGCCAGAGCTCCTCTCAACAGGTAGAGCCAACAACCATCTCCATTCACCGATGCTTGTAAACCGACTCGAGCTGAATTTTGGTAACAAATATATCAATCAACTCAATCACTCAAACGACTCAATCACTCAAACGACTCAACCACTAAAACAACTCAAACAACTCAAACTTGACTCGAAAAGACATTGACAAGTGGTTCAGTCAAGTTCCAGTCAAGTCGATGGATCAAAACGGCTTGATGGTAGGCAGCGGTTCTCGGATCTTGGTCTTCTCAGACAGAGTACTGTGCTTCCTTCCCTTAACAAAACCGGGATCTCCAGATGAGTCGTGTTTGCAGCTGTTGTCATGTCCATCCTTGGACTCAGGGATCTTTCGGTGTTTGTTCAGTTGATCCTAGACTTCTGACCATCGGGTTGACTAGATTAGCCCGGTGCAATGACCTCGAGCCTCTTGCTGTCCATTTTCTGACTGGAAAAGCATCCCAATCCGAAAGTTGTCGGATTATTCGCTGTGGCGGATCATTCGGCGAGCCGAACAGTAGTCGAACAGCTTGCCATACATTCCACAAAATGTTATCACGTGATTATCGATTTCCCACCGGGCTTCGCCATTTGCTCTACGCTCCACGAACTTCAAAGAGCCAAAACCAACCCGACCAAATTTAGTCAGCACAAAAAATACTCACCATGTGACGATTCACGTGATAAGAACAGTGGACGACACCGGAATCGAACCGGGGACCTCGCGCATGCTAAGCGCATGTGATAACCAACTACACCAGACGCCCAGAGTTGGATTTCGGACATGTGCGTTGCATATTGTAAGGAGACGATGCTGACTAACAAAAAATCACGCAAGAGCAACGCAGTTTTGCTCTGATTGATGTGGGGAGTTGATGATTTGGACGAGAATGATTAGGTGATTGCATCCGTTGGAGTTGTTTGGTTTTTACTGTCATTTTCGTTTGATGAGAGTGGTATGAATTGGGAACATCTGGATGAGACATTTGGACATCCTCGATGAATTTCTGGCCTATGTAAGAGATCAGGATTGTCGTTGAATGTTAATATGATTGTTTCTCACAAGTTCTGTTGCAATTTCGTCTTTGTATACCTAGTCGATTGTTCTCTTTCCTACAATTTCTCCGGGACTGTTGCAGTCGTCTGTCAATTGAGCTATTTCGGCTTATTTTGACACGGTAAGATCATTAATTCGCCTTATCATTGTCAATCTCATAATCAGATTAATACTTCTTTCAATTTACATTCATTTCTCTCCTATTATGGATCGAAAATTCCAAAATTGATGCCGGCAGATCCACCAGTCCATATCGCCGAATGTGTCAATTGAATTGACATGGAAACTAGCCGCCAGACGCTGCAATCAACCAAACCGGTCCAGACTTCTCCACAAAACCAATACGGATCTTTGCGACGGTCTAAAGTGCGCCATCTGTCAACTAGGTGTCAACAAGGTGCCAACAAGGAACGGGGCGGCTGTCAACGCTAGGTCTTGCTTTGATGCACCGAGCTGTCAGCCGGGTTGGGCACACGCGGTCCCACGTGGGTCTTGCATGAGGTGGTATGTTTTTTTCTCAGTTTTTTGTGGCGTATGACGTTTTCTTACTAGCGGCTCCGGATCGGGCTTACGTGTTGTGGTGGAGATGTGACAGGGGAGGGCGATCGGAGACGGCGCCAATCGGAGAGAATGTAAACGAATGAGCAAAACGAAGAGAGAATGAAAAACAAAGCGTTAACAGTAGAGCAGGGGAATCCGGTTGGACTGAGTTGGAAAGATCAAGGTGAGACAAGAGAGATCCAGTTCTGGGATTTCCTGACGGTTTGGGGCGGTTCATATCGACTTTGACTGCGTCTATCCACTCTCTAACCACCCATATCTGATCTCTAGGCTCTCTTGTGACCCACTCGTCGCTTCTTGTGACGTCTCAGTGGCCCTCTTGCCACTCCTATTGCCATGCCACCCACGTCACCGCAGATCAATGACAGACGAATGCATTTGTGCCTTGTTCATCCGATAATGGCATGATCCGATCCAATGATGTATATGTGCATATCCAAGGGCTGTTGCGAGCGTTTCTCAAGCGCCCGTGCACCTGCCGCTCTGCCGTTTTCGGAGTCTTGCAAAGTCGGTTCGAAA